AAGAGAGATTGTGGAGAGCTGTTTGAATATTATTCCAGTGAACACCAAGAGCCACTAAATATTTTTGACTAGAAAGAATAATTAGAATTTATAGTAAAGTCTCTCTCTCACCTACTGTGCAGTGTGGCAAAATGGATCCTTTCAAACCCTGTTGGTAGGAATGAGTTTACACTAGCACAAGGTTTGTGGAGGGCCATTTGGTAATACATATCATAAACCCTAAAATATGTAAACCCTTTATCAAAAAAAATTAAAAATTGGCCCAAGACTGAACAAGGCTGTTTATCCCAACACTATTGAAAATAGTAAAAGTTGAAAACAATGTTAAGTGTCTAGCACACTGGATTGGTTAAATAAATTAAAGAATGCTCACACAGTGTATGATAAATATGTTGAAAAGATATTCATCATGCATTGTTAAGTGAGAAAGGTAAGTTAGATAATGATATTCATAATATGATTCTATTTTTTTAGAATAATAAAACACATTTAAGTATATACTAAAAACTCTGAATTACAGATACCAAATAGTAACAGTGATTTTCTTTGGGTGGAAAGATGATGAGTGATCTTTACATTTTTACTTTTTATTTATCAGTGTATCTTTATTTATCTAAAATGAATATTGATTTTTTTTAAAAAAATTTGAAAAAGGAAAGTTTTGGGAATGAAGCAGGTGACGGACTGAAGCATTTACTGAATGGAAAACATTTAGATTAAAAGTGAGATGGGTTAAAGTTTCCTCTCTGACATGATAGATGAGTGATGAAGATGAGGTTTGTCGTGAGGATTAAATGAGTACATGCACAATACTTAGAATGTTCTGGCACATAGCAGTTAATTAAGAAAAGTGAGCACCCTTAATTCCCTAGAATGCAGGGTTGATAGTTATTTTGGTTGACCTTTGTTTTCTGAGGACATTCTGCCATGTGTCAGTGTAATAAATCATAATAATAAAGGTTAGCATTTCTTAAGTGGCTACTGTGTAGAGTGCTATCATTCTTGCAAGGCAACTTTTAAAATAATTTCTCAAAGGAATAGGGCTTTTTTTTTAATTTCTAAGGACTCAAAGTGTTCTTCAGAAATGAATTCATCAGCCGCACAACATATTCCTAGTCAGTTTGGAGATGTTATCCTGCTTTATATATGAGGCCAGGAAAGGGTAAAATACTGCTCAGTTATGATCTGGTTTTAGCCATAGACTTCCATATACTTACTCTATTGTACTCTATAGTAGACAAAAATCCCAGGGACTGGTTGACTTAAAGTTGTTGGATATGGTGACCCTACTGAATCATGCACACGTGGGGACTCATTTGACACCAATTTAAAACATCAGGTGAGGGAAAAAGGAACTAACATTTTTCTTGCTCTGTTACTAGATAGGAGAAAAAGATTTGGGAGGGGAAGGCTAATTCATTTAAAATTGATTTTGAGGTACCTGTGTGACATCTAAATAGAGACACCATATTATCATTTGAATGTATTGATCTGGTGCTCACAGGAGAAAATAAGGCTGCGATTAAGATTTGGGAGTCACCAGAGGATGAATGATGTTTGAAGACATGGGAGTAGATGTGATCTCCAGAGAGAGTAGAGAGAGTTTCAAAAAGAATTGTGTAAGGGACTGTGGCAGCTGAGGGGAGAAGCATAGAATTAAAACAGTATATATACATCAGACACTTTTTCTATCCATATACCTATATACTCTGTACATAAAATTGAACAATATTGTAGATAAAATTTCAGAGCCCGATTTAAATTTTTTCTATTTTCTCCTAAATAATATTCATTTGAGATACTTGAGAAAATAGAGATAATGAGACAAACTTGTCCCCTGACCCAGATATGTAGCTTGAACATCCAAGAAATATTTAGATCAAGGTATGTTGAATTTGGGGTGCTGAGTGACTTTTATGCCTGAAGTGAAAATGAGGTTAACTTTGAGTAATAAAAAGCCACTATGAGGCAGGGGCACAGGCCTGACCAGAGTTATCTGCTCTTGCAGGTCTCTTTTCTCCTCTCCTCCTTCCTTCCCATTCTTCTTTTTCCTTCCTTCTCACTTCTACCTTTATTTCCTCATTCTGGGAGATAATTGGCAGTAGTTCTTTTGTGTTTCTGTCTTTTGGGTTGACCATTTAATTCCCATGACACCAGGTCATGCACCAATGGGTATTTAATACAGAATAGTAATTGTGATTGCTGTGGTAATACGGTGACCCTTGTGTGACTGGATGCCAAGATTTTTTTGGAACCCTTGTTGAACAAAGGCCTAGAAGGAACTAGTCTGAGTATGGCACAGCTCTATGTGCACTGCATGAACTTTTGATGTCCCACATCTGGTATTTAGAACCAAATCACATGGACTTTGGGAAATGCTGTGTGAGACAGATATGTGACTGCCTGGTTTAGTCAGGCCACAAGTCCGGCCAGGCCACACAATGATGTCCTGATGTTTTCACAATGGAGGTCGCCACTCTCAATCATTTTAGGAAGGGCACACTTCTAGGATTGTGGCAGCTCATGGGAGGAGGGAGGAGGCAATGTCCTCTCTTTAGAGAAGGTAGCAGTCCCTGGGAAACCGAGGAAATTAGAAACTCAAAGAATATCTTCCTGTTTTGGTTTTGTTCTCATCTAGCGGTTTTAGGAATTTAAGTGGTTCTATTTCAGTCAAATGTGTTCAAGGGTGATTTTACAAATGTGAAGTATAGTTCTTTTATAAATTGTTGCCCAAAACATAGTATTTCAAGGCTCAGTAAACTGTTTTTTAAATTCATATTTTACTTGCCTTTTAAAAAATATATATCCCAAATGTAGGTTTAATCAAATTGACGTGATTTAAGCAAATTTTGTGTATATGCTTCTGGTTAATTTTTCTGCTAAGTTTCCTTGAGAATGGCTTTTCTAAGAATGATTATGACTACTTTCAATGCTATCTCTTTATACTCATTTTAGATCACATTCCGGGCTGAAGATTTCCTCTGATTTCTCTGTTTAAACTGTGGCTCTTTCTTGCATTTTCACCAGGACTATCTTGCTGCCAGCTTGGGGTGCAGAACCAAGATACTGGCCCCTGATGTGCCCTGCTTTGAGCGTGTGGTATTAAGCAGAATAATAGATATTTACTTTCAGAATGGTATACCTCCACACTTGACCCTCTCTACTGAGGATCTCTCAGGCCTTGTGTGAAGGGCTGGACAATGTGTTTGAGGATAAGACTAGGGGGAAAAGGAAGGGAGGGGGAGGGAAAGAAACCTTATTAGAAGGGTAACTTTACCCTGATAAGTTCATGCACTTGTAATTCGATCTGCCATTGAGAGTGGGCTAAGTGCAACTCTGGCCCTGTAGACCATTTATATTTAAAAAAATGAAAGAGTAGGTGTAATACAAGAATCTTTGGGCATAGAGACCTCTGTTTATTGAGCATTTCTAAGTTCCCAGAGCACATAGCATGCTATCAAATGGGTGTAATTTCTTTTTGAACATAAAAAACAGAATAATTTATGTTATCATAAGGAGCATAATTACCATGTAGATCAGAGTCTTGGTGTTGGCTGCTTGGAACATTCTCTTCTTAACAAAATTATCATCAGAATTTTGTTTATTTAGTTCTTGGGAATTCAGGGCAAGCTGAGTTAGCTAGATGTTAGTACCATCAAAATAGGAGAACCTGGTGCATCTATGTCTGCAATAGGGATTGACTTGTTGCTGAAATAAAATACTTGTATTCAAGAGCTAGAGCACATTTCTTCCTGGACACAATTACACATTTGTCTGCCTAGATGCCCCTTTGCCAGAGGCCAAGCATCAGTGAATGGTCATTTTTTGACTATTAAGATATATTATCAATTAGCTTTCATACAGAATTTGAGAGATGTATATTTTCACAGCAGTGGAAGGCTATAGTATTTACAATGCATTCTCCCCTATATGTTGATTAGTCCCCACTTTTCTGAATTTATTTGGTTTGATTAATAATGATAACTTGTTATTAAAATTTTTTGAAACCCGAGCAAAATGAATTTTTTATCTCTTTAGTTATTTTTTTTTCCATTTTCATTTCAGTCTTCATTTACTAAAATGTGATTTAGTTATGTTCATGCTAATTTTTGTGGCTTTCTTTCAATAAGCTGCAATGAAAATCTAGACATAACAAAATGGATCCATAAAACAAAACTTTTAATTTTTACTTTCTTCCATCATTTAAAATGAGTTAAATGGATTCTCTTTATGACATTAGAAAAGATGGAATCTAGCAACACAAATAAAACAAACTATTTAAAATATTTTATAAATATAAATCTACTCAAACTGACTTGGAGAATAATTTTTTATAATCAGTTATCATATAACCTCATCAATAACCTCTTGTTAAGCTGCTCCATGTGATCTGTAGCCAAAAATTAAAAGTATTAAAATTGCACCATGTCACTTATGAAAATTCAATAGATTCTGGTTGATTTTTTTCTTACATAAAGGTTAAACCTTCATTATAAATGTCATATCTTGAGAATGTCTATAAATACATGTCACACATATATAATCACATTTGTTTAGGTGAATATGGTTATAATTGGGGAAACAGTAAGAGGGATTTGGGAGTAACCAGCACTCTGAGATGTTATTTTTCACAATGAACTCTATTTCAATCTTCTTT